AGAAAAGGTGTGAGTGTGAATTACAGCGGGGTGGAGCGTGACAGATGAGGCCTTGATGGTGGACGGAGTCTGTATCCTCCCAGGTGGTGGGACAGAATGGAATTAAGCGTCACAGGAGGAGGTAGCTTTAGAAACCCAGACAGACGCCAGGAGAGGGGAGATCTGCTTCTGGGAAGCATGGTTACCGACCCACATGGTGTTCCCGCAGTTTCAAAGTCAGATTTTACGGGGGGGGGGGGATGGAATTTACTGCCGAGAATTCTCCCTTCTATCTAACTGGATTGTGCCAACAACCTGCACACGTTCTCAGTTGTACTAGAACATAACAAAGGCTAATTTTGAAGGCAGCTCTTTCAGGTGTGTACTGTTTTCTTGACTCTGAGTAGAAAAATAAGTTACCAGGAATCTTACTCTGATAAGTGAAGTATGCAAAGTTTGTCAAATAGGAATTTTCTTAAAGTTGGTTTTTAACAATGACTTTAATGTTCTAAAATATTCTCTCTGATTGCTTTTAGGTTACCTAGGGTGTGAATTAATACAGACTTGGAAACTGAAAGAACTTAGAATCAGCATTTTGAGGTAAATGTGTACGTACTACAGCAGTGCTAAGACCTGCTTTGTTAACTGACTAGCAAAACGAACTTGTCTGTGAGATGAGAAAGCGTCACCTGTGCTCGAATGGCCTTCGCCCGACTAGACCAGACACGGATGAGTTTCACGGTTTCTTTTCCTGAGCCTCTGGGAGTGAAGACACTGCAGTCATTAGCGTAATGAGCACGAGCAAGGTTTGGTGTCAAAGCCGACAAAATCAACATTTGTTACTTAAATTAAGCTTCCCGTGTTAACACACTTCCTTAGTTTTTGATCTGTGATCTTTTACCAGAACCGCACTGAATTTATAGTTCTTTAGAACAGTATCGTTGGGGTGTGTTCTGAATTCTTTTATTCATGAATGAATTCTGTAAGAGAGTTTATAGTGTGGATTGAACTGTTGTGTTTTTAATTCCATTCTGAGAAATTGAAATCGCTGACAGATTTCATGCACGTATCGCGGTGATTGGGATTTCTCAGCCAAGTGCCTCTTTCGGGGATCTTCGTTTCTTTGGTGTACGTGAATTTAGGAAATGACGTATACGTGGCATTGTCATTTTTACTCCCTGTTATTCTAGCTGCTATCTTTAGATTTTGTTTACTGTGTTTGATTTTCTTGTATTCCTTTTGCAGCCTTTTCTTGAACTTTCCTCTAACTTTTTCTTTTCCCCAGATCTCTGGGAATTAGGCATGCTATTGTTGCCAGCCCCCACTCTCTTGTTCTTTGTTTTAGAATAAGACTTCATATCCTAAAATAACCCAAATGTCTTTTGTTTAAAATGTAATACAAAATAATGGTCTTTTATTTAACTCTTCTTATCAATGGGGCTTTCTTGTAGATGTGTTTATATTCAGTTTTAAGTACAGGAACCTTAAACTTGGCTATTTTTGCATTTATTTTTAGAGCAGAAGCTTGGGCATGCTGTGATTTTCCAATAAACTGCTATCACAATGTCAAAATGCAGCTTGGACAACAGCAACACAGAGATCTCAAACATTAAAACGGTAAATCTGTGATTTATCTATCATACGTGGAAAGAGGAAGAGAGTTTGTGTGTTTTACTAAATTATTTCTGAGAAAATACTACGTAGAAGCTACACAATGGCCTCACCAATTTCGTGGGTGTAAATTGTTTGTCCAGAAACTTAAACTCTGTCCTCGAGGAGCCATCACAAGGCGTTGTCTGTTGGCTCTGCGGAAGCAGTTAATCAATAATCAGTTCATCTGTGAAACTACAGAACGTTTACTTACCAGCAGGGATTCAGAGCTTTTCCTTAAGACCAGCTTAAGGGGAAAAAAAAATCTACTTAAACACACCAAAGAAAGTAAAAATTGGCAAAATTACAGATTGTTCTGTTTTCACATTATTGGATTACCTGTTGAGGTTTTTCATCTTGGATTCGCTTTCCCTAAATAGAAAGTATCTCTGGGGCCAGCCACTGTACATTCAATCGGTGAAGATGAACTTAACTATTGTGACCTTACGGAAAAGCAGGTTGAGAGGGTTAAATCGCGGTCCCCTGTCTCCTTGCAGACCCTCTCCCGCACCCGCCCTCCCAGGAGAGGGTGTGGATTTCCAAAACCTACACAAATACCTTTGGAACTGTGACGATTCTGTTCTGTACGTTATTGTGCGACAGTCGTGACTCTCTTGTTGAGTTTATCAAATACTCGCTTGAACTTGATTCTTCTGCACGTGTGCTCCTACACACGTGTGCCGGTAGAAGAATCAGGGTGTACATGCATCCCTGTGCAAATGCGTGCCAGGTGACCTGATGTCTGCAAGGCACACAGAAGCCGTTTGAAGGTGTTTATCGTCACTCACGTGGGCACGGTTTTCATTCTACAAACTGCACTGTTTATCTGCCACGTTCTGGGGGTGGCTTGGTGTGGCGGGCGAACCGAGTGTGCAAGGGAGTCCCATTCTCACCACTCATACATATTTACTTTTCGAGAGTCTTTTTTTGGAAACAGTTTCAAACGTACAGCGAAGTCACAAGGTTCAGAGTGGGGCAGAGAATCCGCGCTTTGCCCCATTTGCTTAACGTGTTGCACACATTTGCTGTACGTGTATGTGGTTTCTTTGTCTGAACTATTCGAGGAGAAGTTGCGTACATCTCATGGCCCTTTACCCCTGGACACCGTGGGGTCTGCTTCTTAGGAATAAGGCTGCTTTCTTAAACAGCCTTAGTGCCGTGACCAGCCTCAGTGACTTTGACAGTTCTATCGGGCTCTGTAATGACCTCTGTGGCATCATTCTGCAGTACAGGATCCAGTCTGAGATCACTCACTCCAGTTAGCTGTCATGTCTCTTTATAGTCTTTCATCTGGAACGTTTTTAGAGTTTTTCTTTGTATTTTACACATTTTTAAAGGATACAGTCTCCCTTTGGAAAAATAGAACATTCTTCTCATTTATTTTTTTAGACTCTTTCTCGGGACTTATTAGTTACAGTTCTGCCACTGTTATCTCTGTGAGAAAGAATGGTGGCAGCGGTGACAGCAGCAGGGAGGGGTGTCGCAGGTTCCTGGCTCCACGTGGTGTTGGCAGGTGAAGGAAGAACTCTTTGGGGACTGGCATTGCCACCTTCCTCCTTTTTTATTCTCTTCAGCGGTCAGGATTTATGCTGATTTCCTGACCCCTTTTGCCATAGTTTTGATCGGTCTTGGATTGGTATTTGAGTTGGGTGGAGGCCGAGGGAGGGGGTCAGGCTTTCGGCATAAGTCGTCCCAGACAGTGAGCAGCCCACGGTAAGGAAAATGCAGAATGGTTTGACCGGGTGGTAGTCGGTGGGAGGGGCCTGTGGGCCTGCAGAGTGGCCCAGTGGACCTCAGGAGATGAGGTGCCATGGCTTTAGCTTTGGGTTCTTGGCAGCCGTGTTTGGTTAACCCACGGGCGTGCAAGCAGCGGGCCTGAGGAGTTGAGAACAGTGAACGCTGCACGGGGGGTAAAAAGAATGGTTGGTGGGGCTTTGGTTCGGTAGACGATGAGCGGATTATTTCTAGGAAGAACACAGTTGGTAGTGTTCAGACCGTGCTCCGCAGTCCTTTGCTCGCCGTCCTCCTCCCAGAGGGATGACGAGAACGATCGTAGGTCATCCTGGCTGGTCTGTGCCGTCTGACCTGGCCGCACCTGCGTTGCTGCTGTCCTCGGCGCCCGCAGCCCTGTGTCCCCCACTACTTACAGGAGATCACACCGGCACTGGCCAGATGTTGAGTTGTGGTCCCCTGAACTGACCTCTGAAATAAAGGGAGACTGGAGACTTCTCGTTGGATTTGATAGAACAGCTTCAGTCGCTGTCCTGTATCGTGGTCGTCCATTTCACGTGTCAGGAGATTCAAAGGTTCTCGTCAAGGACGAAGAGTGGGCTTCTTTCCGGTTTCATAGTGATAACAGTGAAAACTCCCAAGCAGTGTGGGGGCAGAAATTTCCTTTGGGGGCACATAAATGCTGCTGACAGTCAGAAAGCCAATGGTGGACTGCCACGTTGAGGTCTGAGACCCTGACCCTCTGTGTGCAGGTTAGGAGTTTGAAAAAGACTCGGGTTTAGTTTGTCATTTTACATCATCCAGTTCCTCTTTGGGAAAGAATACGTGAAACACAGAAGAGCCCTTACCTACCGTGAAAAACTCAGAATGGTTGCCCTTTGTCTTGATTCATCTAGGATATGTGTAATTTTAAAGGTAAATATTTAAATCGTTGGTCAGCTGTGCAGTTGAGCTAGGTTGTCAGTCGAGGAAAAGACCTTGTGTGTTTATAGTCTTTAGATACAATGACAAAGTGTTGGCAGGTATCTGAAACTTCAGTGCCTTCCAAACATTATCTCGCAAGTTTATCGATAGTGGCATCAATAGAATTGATAATGCTTGAAAATGTTTGTTTATGCACCCACATGCTTCGCATGTACGTATGTATTTAAAGAGGCATCATATTCATATTTTCTTTTAAAGGTATATGATGGGCATGGTTCTCTATCAGTCAATACAGATCCGGATTTTCTTCGTGAGTTCAAAGTATTGTATGATAGAACTATACCATCATTTACTTGCTCACTTCTTATCAGTGCGTTTGAAAGGTATTGCTTGTTCCCAGGTACTAAGGCATCAGTACGTATCCGTGTCCTTGTTTCTTCGTGTAGTTGCCTAATTATTTCAGACAAGTTTCTAGGTGTAGAATCGCCGGGTCGGAAAGTACAGAACGCTTGACTTTTTAAAACGATCCTCTTAGATCGAGAAAAAGCTAAAACAATGACAGGGGAAGTTTGACAGGGTCCAGAGGAGTGATACTCTGATGTTTCTCTTGTTTCTTGGCTTTCTTTCGTCCTTAACCCTGCATGGTGGTGTAACGGTATTCTTTCTCCCTTTGTAGTAAGCTGCGCTAGAGCAAAATGCAGTGAGAGAAGCACTGGATGAATGAAAGCCCTGCTTTGCAGCCCCTCAGCATGGCGGGCCTGCAGCTCGTGACCCCTGCCTCCTCACCAATGGGCCCTTTCTTTGGACTGCCATGGCAACAAGAAGCAATCCATGATAACATTTATACGCCAAGAAAATACCAGGTACTAATGAGAACACTAATACTGGAGCGTTTCCACTGAAATGGAGTCAATTAGCACGTAGTTGACATGTCTTATGTAAAACCCATTTACCTTTTCAAGCTCTCCTCTTCTGAGTAATTTTCTCCTTCCAGATACTTTTGTTCCTAATGGCCCTTTTCTTTTCTAACATCTGCCGGCCGATTGACGTAATCATTTTGTTTGTGAAGTTCCTTATTGTTTCCCCTCTGAAAACCTCTCCCCTCGCCATACCCGCTTGGGTGTGTCTGTCCTCAAGAGCTCGGAGGGAATGGAGACGGTTCGAACCACCACCAACGGGCAGGACCACGGTTACTGTAAACTCAGTTCTTCGTGTTATTCTTGGGGAGTTTTCTGTCCCCCCTGCAAAAATATTTCTCAAACAGATTGTAAACGTTACCCCACGCGTGTTTCTGTAACACAGCTGGCCATACGTCACAGGCATTTTCGCGCCTGTGATCTCCTTCTGGAAAGATGCAGAGAGTCTGTGTTTTGGCAGACTTAGCAGAGGAAGATCTCAGGAAGCAGTGAAGTTTCCTGAATTAAGACAGAGCCCAGTTTTCCCAGTGTTGTACCCAGATAAGAAGTGTGGCGTCTTCTTCCCCACTGTATTTCTAGGTGGAACTGCTCGAAGCAGCTCTGGATCATAACACCATAGTCTGTTTAAACACTGGCTCAGGGAAGACGTTTATTGCCGTACTACTCACTAAAGAGCTGTCCTATCAGATCAGGGGAGACTTCAACAGAAACGGAAAAAGGACGGTGTTCTTGGTCAACTCTGGTAATGCAGAAATTGTTTTATCATACTGTGTGGAGGACATTGGATGAGATTTTACGGTTGAGCACATTTTTAAAAAAAGTTTATTTATTTTGAGAGAGAGAGAGAATGGGGGAGGGGCAGAGAGGGAGGGAACGGGGAATCCCAAGCCGGCCCTGAGCTGTGAGCACAGAGCCCGACGTGGGGCTTAATCTCACAAACTGTGAGATATGACCTAAGACCAAACCAAGAGTCGGACGCTTTACCGACTAAGCCACCCAGGGGTGTCCCGTAAGCACTTTTTCTCTGTGGCTATTAAGTTAGATGATGGAACGTATAGAGGGTTTGAAGAATAATATATTTGTTGAGATTCTGAGAGCAGAAATAGCATTTAGTCTTGTCTCTTAACTTTATAGTACATCTCTTTTAAGCGTCAGCCGTTTTATTTCACAGATGTTAAACTTCAGCTTTTTCCTTAAACGTATTTAATTCTGATGCTACGGTTTTTGCATGCGCTACCTTTCGGAACATAAGCTAATCTGTGTCGTCACAGTTATTTCTGGTTATATTTGTTTTAGCTTTGCAAAGTCCATCAAAAAGTGCTTGATTTATGAGACTGGTAGCATTGTGATTTGTGATTTTACTATGCCAATTACAGAAGGGGAGGGAGGTGCTTCTTCAAAGTTAGATATTCAGTTAGAGTCTGTGATCCTGGATTTGTGTTTGGCTTTACGTATGAAAACAAAAAGTATAAAATGTGAACCTGAGCCGCTGGGGCAGTGGTCTCCTTTTTTGTTTTCAGATGGTCTCAACATGTGATGTTCTCCTGTACTTTAAATATATATGAGACCGTCTTATTTCTTGGCAAAACGATCTGATTTTCCTGAAGAAAACAGGAGTGGGGGGTGGATCTGGAGTAGTTCCCATTCCAGCCTGGAAGTTCTGTTCTTAGGTTGGGAAAATCGGCTGTAAAGAAGGCGGGTGGCATAGGGTTCTCTGAAGTGAATGACGGAGGACCAGGTCTTAAGTCTAGTAAAAGCATTTTGGAGGATCACCTTGGAAATACGGTTTTCAATCGGCTATCTAAAAAATCAGGGGTTAGGTAATGATATATAATAATAAGGATTTCCTTAGCTGTCTTAATCATTAGTAGTCCAGAGAGCCAGCTATGTAAGATTTGTCCTATTTACAAGGAGTATTTGTATCTGTAATCAGCAAACCAGGTTGCTCCACAAGTGTCAGCTGTCAGAACTCATTCAGATCTCAAGGTTGGGGAATACTCAAGCCTGGAAGTAAATGCAGCTTGGACAAAAGAGAAATGGAACCAAGAGTTTACTAAGCACCAGGTAAGACTTGGAAAGAAATTTCCCTTTGTAAATCCCTACGAGTCCTCGACTTCGTCTATAAGATGACCTTTAGTCTTGGTTGTCTTTGTTTAGTTTGAAAACTCGTTCCTGTACTTTGTCAGCCTAGGAACTAGCCCTTCCGTACTCTTTCTCACGGTCTAAAACCAAATGAATAGGAACGTATAATGTTGCTCTTACTGCACAGGAGAGAAACAGCTTTGCAGTGTGATTTACTGGCTGGAAAAACACAAATTCTGATGACGTACTTCCCGCTTGTGGATAACCTGCTTTTCAGAAAATTTATGCTTGAGTTAAGTGTCTTGAGACTGGAGATGCTTCTCGGTTGAGACCTTTGGGTCTTTGACCAGAGACTTCCTCTGACTTACACGTTTGTGTGGAGCCAGCGTGCGTAGAGGGTCTTTTTGGTGTTGGTGTGTCTGAAGCGGTTAGGAGGTGCTCCGTAGCTCAGCTGGAGCAGTGCACACGGACTAGCATGTCTCGCACACGGGGTTGAGTCCTCATCAATAAAACATTGAGATGTCCGCACAGAGATAGTGCCCTGAAAAGAACATTTGGTCGGTGTCTTCTTCCAGAAAACCTTGTCAGTTCAACGGGAAAAAAGAGGAAAACACAGGGTGAATTGTGTTGTCATTTGATTAAATCAATAGGTCTCATCAGTCAAAATGGGGCTCATAGGAACCTGAAAACCTGAAGTAGTTTTAGGAGACTTATCATAAAAGCATGGTCCCTGTTATCAAGAATTTTTTTCCCCTAATCTGTTTCTGTATTTGCCCATCTCTGCTTCTTGGTTCCAAAGTATTAGCTTGCATACGTTTAGAACGTCTGTTTTGATTTTGACTAATGAGTTCCTCACTTCTCGCCTACAGAATGGTGGCTCCGTAATCTGATTTAATAGAAGTGTATCCAGGCAGGTAGGCAGGTGAACGCACGTTCGTACACTGATGTCAGCTTTCTTTTAGGTTCTTGTTATGACCTGCTATGTCGCCTTGAATGTTTTGAAAAATGGTTACTTATCGCTGTCGGACATTAACCTTTTGGTGTTTGATGAGTGTCATCTTGCGATCCTAGACCACCCCTACCGAGAAATTATGAAGGTAAGTTTTTAGGTTTTTATCAGTCTTAATGCAAGTCAAATTCCTGAGAATAAGCGGTGTTTTTATATATCAAAAGCAGTAATATCCGTTACCAGTTTTGGGAGCTTCATTCCCTGTATGAACGAATGAATGTGAAATTAATTTTCACTGAGATCTATAATAATGAACTGTCATGCGTAACCTATAGTAAATCTAGTCCTGGGATAAACTTTTAAGCATAAGTAAATGAAGTACGTAATGCGTGATACATCCATTATATCATCTGTTGTAGCACATTGACATACGCTTCTTGGATACAGGGATCTTTGAAACAGGCTCCAGTCATTCCATAAGTGATACTTTTAGTGTCTGCCCATCTTCCTGATTTGTGTCAGTCTGGCAGTGTCTCTGTCGTCCTGGCCTCGCAGAACGAATGCCTCACTGTCAGCATCTCTTATCGTGTCAGCTCTGTGAAAACTGTCCATCGTGTCCTCGTATCTTGGGACTGACTGCTTCCATTTTAAATGGGAAATGCGACCCCGAGGAATTGGAAGAAAAGATTCAGAAGCTGGAGAAAATCCTCAAGAGTAATGCTGAGACCGCAACTGACCTGGTGGTCTTGGACAGGTAGGCGCTCGGCTGGGGTTTCCCCTCCCGTCCCTTTCCTGGGGCCTCCCGGGCAGCGCCTGTACAAGTGGACGGGTGCCTGAGGCAGGGAACGAGCGAGTCTGAGAATCCTTAGGGCAGGGACCTCCCCTTGTCTCCACAGAGAACAGCAGATGGAGGGGCTCCGTCTCTCAGAAGATGGCATGAGCGTGGGCCCCTCCTGTTTGCTGATGTGGACGAGGACCGGGAGCCAGGACAGGAAGCTTGTTTCTGCCCACGTGTGTTCATGGTCGTTCCAACCTAAGTGTCCGCGTGATACTTTGCAAGAACACGACTTTATGGACAGAATTCAGTGTTTTGCGCTACGTTTAGAAAAAAATTTTTTTTTAACGTTTATGTTTGAGAGGGGGAGAGAGAGACAGAGCACGAGCAGGGGAGGGGCAGAGAGAGAGGGAGACACAGAATCCGAAGCAGGCTCTGCGCTGTCAGCACAGAGCCCGACGTGGGGCTCGAAGTCACGAACTGCGGGGTCGTGACCTGAGCTGACGTCGGACGCTTAACCGACTGAGCCACCCGGGCGCCCCTACGCTACGTTTTAAACTGATTGGAAAAACCCCGGTGTTTTGCAAATGGGTGTGACTCTGTGAGAACAATGTTGTTTATGCTTTCTGGGTTTGTGTCTCTGGAAAGGTAGCTGCTTTGAGTTTCAGTAAAACGTGTACACATACACGCTTTTTGATTTGAGTTGGTGGATGGGAGCTTATACCAATTAGGTTTATAATTAAGTTGATTCAACTCACATTAAAGCATCCTTATAGGCGATAGTTCTTGGAACAGTTATAATGACTAGAGAAGCCGATTTCTCAGGGAGTTAAATCAGACAGGTTTTGAAATCCTGGCTTCCACTGACTGGGAGTTGTATGACTTCAGGCGAGTCCTTTATTGTCCCGGAACCGGTAAAATGACGTTGACAGTGGTTTCGGGGGATTCCTTGATGATCAGTCACGTTGATCTTGCAGTGTACCTGCCATTTAATAGGAACTTGGGGAAAGATCTCTTTGTAGAACGAGAAGAAAAGGTAATGTTTCGGATCCGTGGGATGTAAGGATTCAAAATACATGAAATACACGCATGAGATACAAATCTCGCGACCTTTTGCACGTGGTGTTTTTGACTTTTTCGAGCCAGAATGAGCTGATGTGGCAGTGAAAGGCTGTACTTTTGTTCCGAATTAGATTGGGAAGCCTGCAGTGCTTGAAGTTTGCAGAAGTAGAGGTATTAGGGCACTTAAGTAAAACTGATAAGCGGTCTATTGAATCCGGTACTTCCCAGTTTTCTAAGCGTGACTCTCTGGTTAAGTATAAATTCTGATGGAGAATAATGAAAACCGTAGTATTTACACATGTCTTTAGTGTATTTCATTTCCTTAATCGTTGTTAGTGCTTTCATTTAAAAATTTTTTTCAATGTTTATTTTAGAGAGAGAGAGAGAGCGAGTGCGAGCATGGCGGGGGGGGG